TTTTAATTTAATACAAATAAAAATAAAATAAAACTAAAATAAAATAAATAAAATAATATAAAATAAAATAAAATAAAATAAAATAAAATAACATAAATAAAATAAAGGTTTACTATAAAGGATTATTACAAAGGATCATGCTGAAACTCTATTCTATTAATAAATTTCAGTCAACAAAATGAAATTACATTAATGTAAAACAAAATTCTATCAAAGGTTATGAAATGCTAAAAATAGGTTGTGTGAGGTATGTCATCTTTGTGCGAGGTAGTATTGAAGTTAGTATAGAAGGTAATATTGAAGATGATATGGAGATGATACTCGAAATAGTTAACTTAAAAAAAATTTCTATGCTCGGATTAACCAGAGAAAATTATTAGGGTTACCTATTTACTATATTTTCATTTACTTTTCAACGACGGAACGGATAACAATGTACTAGGCTAGATATGTAAATTATCGCATGTCAATAAAACTTATTTCTTTATTTGGTCAAATACTTTTTTAGGCTTGGCGTTTTTTTTTTTTTACATTATTATTTCATTTAAAAGGATTAGATTACCACCCTGCATTTTCTAAAACGAGAGCCGAGATTTCTTTTATGACGCAAAGTTTTTTTTTTTTCTACTTACGTTTTAGGTGTATTAATGCATATCCAATTTTTTTTTCCGATTGTATATATTTGAAATAATATCGAATTTGCGTTTGATTCATATAAATTTTCATTAAAAAAATTTCATTACAATACTTACAATATCATAGAAAAAAAAATAAGATTTTTGGATCGTCTATTTGTCGAAACGTGGAGTTCGTGCTGTACCATGATTCATCGAAACGTGGAAATCTATTCGTGATCATAAAAACATTCATATAAAGAGTTCACTTAAAGACTTACATATCATATTTAATATTCTAATGCATATTTATAAATATGCAATATAAGATTATGCACAAAGAATAGATAAAAATAAATAACCTTACCTTTAGACTTTTAATCACTCTGAATTTCATCAAAACATTTCGTAATATTTTTTTTCTTTTTTTTTCTTTTTCATAAACAATGGCAATTAAAAAGCAAATATCAAAATTATTAAAAAAATGCGGTTTAAAAAAGTTTAAAGCTTTTTGTTCTTCATGTAAACCTAACAAAAGTCAAAATTGCGAAAATCAACCTTGTATAGATCAAATACTTGAAATTAATGCGCAAGAAAATAAAGAAAATCATAGGAATAGTAAAAGGCGCTCTGATGAAAAACCCAAACCTCTTTTCGACACATCGTTAAAACCTTTAAATAGTGATTTACAACAGTTGAATCATCAGAATAATAATAATATTAATAATAATCAGAATAATCAAAGTCATCAAAATCATAGCAGCGAAAAAGTATCTCTTGAAAAATCTGTAGAAAAAGTATCTCCTGAACAATATGTAGAGAAAGAAACTCTAGAAGAAAAGGATATGTTGGGGTAAGTTTTCTTTGTAATAAATTAAACTTTATAATATATTAAATCTATTACGTATTAATATTTCTTATTATATTTTTTTTAGTTCAGTTCCAATAAAACTAACCGTCGGTGAGATGCAATTCACAACAAGACAACAAACCCTCTGCGCATATCCTTCTTATTTATCTGAACTCTTCTTTATCTTTCGATCTCCAAATACCCTTTCTAATTCAAATCCTCTACATCCACAATTACCTTGGCCTGATAATTTATTCATCGATCGTGACGGTTCCTTATTCGTTTACGTCCTAGAATTCTTAAGAACTTCTACTTTACCAAAATTATCTCTTTCTACCTTACAAAA